AGTGGGGATTTTTCAGTAGATCAAAGAAACTGCTATATATATATATATATATATATATATATATATATATATATCGTATTTGTATATATTTTATCATGACTTGTATTATGGATAGGGATATGAAACGAGCCATCTCGATTCGGCTCAAGTCGAAACGAGCCGGTTCGTTTTGAATTCAAGTCATTGGATTCGTTTTCAAACGATAAAAAAAAGTTTCGGCTTAATATGAAATTTAAATTTTAAAAGTAAGTATGTATAAAAACTTGTACATATATACATATAATCATATATAACCTATACAAAATTAAATTAATTAAATATTTATTTATAATAAAATATATAATATATAAGTAAAAAAAAAAACTTCAACGAGTCATCTCGGGGCTTGTCCAAATGATTCGTCAAAACTCGTGATTATAGCGAGTTGATTTGTTTACAAATGAATTTTAAAAATGTCACCTTAGCTTCGGTAAGGATTCTAACGAATCAATTGACGACTTATTTGTGTTTATACCATTTTATAAAATATCAAAATGCACGATCTAAAATATCGAAAAATCTGGTGGTCGGGCCACGTGGCGGACGTAAGATTGTCTGTGCGTGTGAGTGTTTTTCGAACCAAAACCGAGCCCACACGCTTCTAATCATTTTAGCTTTCGGTTTCTCCTTCCCTTCCCTTCCTTCCTCTTGCACCACATCATACTATTTATATATAATCATATATATATATATATATACATACATACTTACTCTTCATTCCTGTAATCCTTTATATTAATATTAATTTTTTGACGGAGTAGCCGGTCCATTGTTGTGAAAATTTGTATGTATAGCACTTCCAGTGATTCATGAAAATGTAACTATAACCCACCAAGCCTCGGTGGGCAGAGATGTGATTAAAATTCCGAGCTGTGTTTTATTTTCAAATATTTAAATAAAAATTATTAAAAATGTACCACCCGATATAATTGAATCAATTTAATATGATTGACCCACTTTGACTAGAAAGCGTAAAGGCAATAAAAGATATCTACGAACGAATCATTACATTACCATTATTGTAATTACTTGCTCAGATAGATAGGTACTTTCCCCCCCAAGCAAAAGCCGAATTGATCAAAATTAATATAAAGGGAACTTAAAATGTTAACAAAAAAAAAAGGTTCGTTTAGAATAATTCAAATTTTAAAAAAAAATATGAAAGCAAAACGGCACTTATTCTTCTTAAAAATTAAAAGAGCAACTAAGACCATATATATATATATATATATATATTTGGTTAGTGAGGCAAAGAAAACCGATGACACCAACCAAACGGTAAACCGGTTTCACGGATATAAACAAGGCACTGATTGCAAAGAAAACTAAAAACCGAGAACAATATCTGAACCACATAATCCACACATAGATACATTAAGAAAATGCATAGAGGACACATTCATTTGGTTTCCATCAATTTTGGTTCGATATCAATCATTAGATAAGGAGACAAACCAACGGGTGTAACCGTTCTGCAGAGCTTAACCGGGTAACAATCATAATATACTTGCACAGACAGAAGCGAAGATATACCGGTTTAAGCATATCTTACTTTGGGGGATAACCAGGAGGAGGGTAAGGAGGAGGGTATTGAGGAGGGTAGCCCGGAGCAGCGGCAGGGTATCCTTGTGCTGGATGGGGATAGTAAGGCTGAGTGTATCCCGGGGCGGGAGGGTACCCGACTGGTGGAGGGATGGGTTGATCGATACGGGACATCTGCTGAGCTGGTGGCACTGCCATTGGTTGAGGACCGAACACTCCATCTCGTTTATCCATCTCGATCTTGTGTTGTGTCTGGAAAAAAAAGACAAAGTGTTTCGGTTGTAACCGTTAAGACGAGAAAATTCAATTGGTTTCTGCTCTCCAGACTAGTTAAAACTTAAAAGAGTTTTTAAAGGCTTCTTTCTCGTTTCATTACCTGCATACATGCACAAACCCTGCAAAACCCACGAATGTACAGTGTCAGCAAACAATGTTAAGCAATTTACAATAAGAAATGGACATGGAATTGAAAAGTTGAAGAATTTTCAGGGGAAAGCAATATACAGGAACAAAAATGAAGTATTTCCCGCATTTTACAGCCAAAAGAGGTGGATTCTTCTTGTTGGGGCATTACTTATTTCTTTACTTTCTTACAGTACGAGCATCGTTTCTCTATCCATATGGCTTACCCACTTTGACCAAAAGTTAAGGTACCCGACGAGGGCATGCAAGTAAAAACGAGGATTATTAATAAGTCATACAGAATGTTTGATACAAGACAGAGAGAGAGAGAGACATACGTGCAGTAAACCATATCGGCCAAGCAAGACAGCAGTTGAGATGCCTCTGAAAGTTCATCACTTCCCACAATGCAAGCGACTAGAGAGAAAATGCAAGCAATTTGGTTGAGGCAGAACATAAAACCCTGCAAATAGACAAGACAGAAATGTTACTTCAGACAAATGCATATTCTCCACAAATGTGCTCATTTGTAAACAACTGAAGGAAAGAAGGACAAGAGTAGAGAGAACTTACAATTATGCAATTGTCACATTGCGTTGTCTGGATGTTAAATTCATCCTGTAGCATGAAGCGGGTAGAAGCCACAGAGTTCCCAAAGCATAGGAAAACCTGGAATTTCAATTGCATGTTGATTGAGAAAATGCCAAAGCCAAATCATAAAAAGTAAAAACAGCGAGAGATCTTGTGAATCGGTTGCAAAGCAAGCCATTACATTAAAAAAACATACAACATGGACATGCTCAAAAATTCAAAGCTACCCGAATGTTGACGCTCGACAGAGACAGTGTAGTCTCCACAACAAATAAAATGACCTAAGCAACTCAAGTGAGAAGGAAAATAAAAGACCCTGTGACGCAACATTAGGACAAAGGACATGAAAGAGTTCTCAAAACGGACAGAAGTGTTGTAAATCAAATTGAGATGATTGTTCCTGGATCTTGGTGAAGTAACTAGAGAATGAAGGAGACCAAGACTGCTTGACAACAGACAGAAACATCCAATTATAAAAAAACAGGCAAATGCAGCTTCAAGTTACCAACCCTGATCCCATAAGTAATGATACATACCAAAAATCAAGGGCAGGATTCAATCATATTTCAATAAACATTGAAAAGAGTGCAGAATAAAGGTTATTCACCTCGGTGGCAAGACAAAGTTCAGGGCATTTGCTTTCTCCACATCGACCACTACAAGGCATATATCCACCACAGCAAGTGTACCTAAAGAAATCGAAAGGATGCAGCATGTAAATCAAAAGAAATAAATCCGTTTCCGTCTCTACACGGCAGCGAATTTAGAGAATACCTTGACATGTCATTGTAGAGGGCTCTCCTCCGAAGCAAGTATGAAACACACGGTCCACTACACACGCAATGACGGTAGATTATATGCATTTCGAGACAGATCAACAAATCGATAATCACTTGATAAGTGATCAAGACCGATATGCTCCAACACTACACTACACTCACTCTATAAAGATCATATCATAAAATGGAAATTTGAGTAAGATTTGACAATAGCACAAACCATGAGAACAGCAATGTCCAGTAATTGCATAGAATCTAAATATATTATCAAAATATGACGCCATATTGAATTCAAAAGGGTGGAAGAAAGGGAAAGGAGGATCTCAAATGTACCAGGAAAAAACCCTAAATTTCCACCTCTGTTTCTCAACGCAAAGTTCTCAAAAGCCACGGATCACAAATTCAACCCATAAAACACAGTTCGTCCTACCCAAATAGACACATAATACCAACACCAATGCGATAAATTCCAGGAAATTCAATACAATCGCGAGAAAAACCGGATGATGGAAAACCACTTACCACAAACACGCGAAGCAACAATCTGCCAAGAATGAAAAAAAAAACCCAGAAAGCCAAAAATATAGATTAGTTCTCCAACCAAAAAAGCAACGAAGAACCATAGAACGAGACAGAGAGAGAGAGAGATTTACAGGGAGTATCGGCGGTGACGGTGCCCATGAGATCGGAGTGCCAAACGTTCCGGTAGCTCTGACGGAGCTGCATCTTCTCCATCTTGTCCTGCGAACCCGCCATGGCTGAAACACCTCCTCCTCCTCCTCCTCACAGGAAAGATTCAAAACCGAATTCAAAGACACAGGGAATCTCGAAACTTCACAGGGAACAAACCCTAGAAAATTAAAATGCAAGCATTCAAATCTGTACAAGGAAAGTTGAAACTTTGAATTCTATATCTATCTCAATCACGCGTAAGCTTTGATTACTTGTCTTTAATTGGAAAAAACCGAAACTTCTCTTCTCCCTCCCTCTTCCCTTTTTTATTCCCTCTTTTTTTAAAATAATTTTTAAATTTTCGAGGAAGAACTAATTTGTTTTTCTGTTTTGCATTTAATCAAGAGAATTTATTTTCTCTATAACTTGAATTTCGCTCTCCGCGTATTTTGATTGTTGCACATCCATAGCAATCGGGACACCGAAATTCTAGAAAATAATAACCACTTAATAACGCGTTGAGCCTATATTATTATTATTATTATATCTAGAATTTTCAGTCAAATATTACACAAATAAAATTCCAATTTTTTTTATATTTCTATTGTATTCACACCGTTTAATTATTTTCCATCATTTATTGGTATAATTAAAGAGTTGACTGCGCATATGAAAATAGCTTGAACACATGTGGTGCGTTTTGGGTTTCTCATTCCAATCTTTACCTACAAGAAATTTATACATTTTTTGACATAATTTTTGACAAACTAATGGACGTAATTTGTTCGGTATACCATTTTTTTAAATATAATACAATATATAAATATTGAATGAACAATATCCCGTGAAAATTGTCGAATAACCTTAAAACGCTTTTACGTTTTTTTATGAAATAATTCAAAAATAAGAAAAGGGGAAATTGAAAATTGTAAAACAGTTGAAGGCTTTTTAAGAAAATATGAAAAATAAGGGGACCGCATTTGTAAAATTCGCTTTTTTGTCGTTATATATACATCGGCCGCCAGGCACACACATGAGAAGACATGTTGTCTCGGCTCCGAAACATATGAACCCACAAAAAAAGATTTTTTTTTTGTTGTAAATTTCAAACCTTCAATTTTTTTTTCTTTTTCCATTTTAGGTTTTATGGTGATTTAATAAAAAGATCACGAGTGTGACTTTGTGTTCCGTAGGCGTTTCATTAGCTCAACTGCAAATAAGGACAGAACCAAATCTCTTTCGCTGTTCCTGTCCTTTGTCTTCTCCATCGAAGAATCTATCATAGCTGTTTCAATGTCTTCTGATCTTTTTGTCTTCGACGAGTCATCATCCTCTTCCTTGATTTCCCGCCATTCAAGCCCAGAAATGGCTGCAACTACAGATCTTCCGTTTTTCTGCAACAACGATCGTTACCCTTTTCTCGATCCTCTCAGCAGCGACAACAACAACAACAACTCGGTTGATGATTCTCTGTGTGTTTTCGAAGATTTTGCTCCTCAGATCTTCTCTTCGTCTCCCCCGAGTCGTCAGCTCGAGACCTTGACGATTTCTCAGACAGCCCATTCGAATTCTGAGGTTTTCACAAATGGGTTCCAGAATTACTCCGGTTGTTTCGATGTATCCGACGTCAAAAGGGAGCTCTTCTTCGACGGCTCAGGCCATAACCAGACAGATGCGGCGGCATCTATGGCGCGAAGCTACAGCGCCGTCGAGAATGTCGGAAAGTATATGCAGAGGTGCTTCAGCAGCAACTCAGCGGAGGCGAAACCCGGGTTCCGGCTCAGTTCTCTGTTCGATCCTCTGGTGGAGTCATCAAACCTCCATAACCAGACCTTGAACTCGCCGGAAAACGGGTTTCTAGCAGGCCACATGCGACGTGTTTTCAGCACCGGAGACTTGCAGGTCACTTCTTGAATCCTCGCTAACATCAAAACCGGAATCTAAAAAAGATGAAATCGATCAAAATCTGCCCAGTTTTTTTAAAAGTTTGGTGGTGAAAATGATCCAGAGAAGTTCACAGACAAGCAATCTGTTCTGTTTCAGCTCTGTTCTTTCTTGCAATCTCGTTGAAAAGTTTCTTCTTTTTCTGAAATAATTTGCAGAACATGAGAAGAAGTGTTGGATCGAATTCGAGGGCTTTAGGCATGGAGAATTCATCGTCGGAATCAAACTTGAAAGTTGGACGTTACAGCGCCGAAGAACGAAGGGAGAGAATCTCCAAGTACAGAGCAAAACGTACCCAGAGAAACTTCACCAAGACCATTAAGGTACACACATACACGTATATATACTCCCATATATGTGTATGTGCTATATGTTTTTCTTTTTTCTTTTTCTGTAATGATGAGTTGTTATTATTTTTTTATTAATTTGAAAAATAGTATGGATGTCGGAAAACGCTGGCGGACAACAGAGCACGCATACGTGGCAGATTCGCACGTAACGACGAAGTAGTCGAGATACCCAAGAACTCTTTTTCTTTTGCCACAGAAGACGACGATGACAATCTTTGGGTATATATATATATATATTGAAAATAATTTTACTTTTTCTAATTTTTTGAATAAGTAAATAAACCCAATAAAGGATATGAAAAAAATATGGTGGGTATTTATTTTGGACAGTACACGTAAAAAGATTGGTTGGTTCGACGAAGAAGCTAACAAGAATCACATAAATTTCATGTCTTATAAATGTTTGACCGAAAAGTCTTATGTTTATATATGATATTATAATAACTTAGAATTTTTAACCAAAAAAAAAAACAAACTTAGAACTCCTTTTCTTCATGTTCCATAACATTATAGTCAAACAAAAAAAAAAAGATTGACATGGATGTGTTAGAAATTTACAAATGAAACGGGCCAAGTTATATCTTATAACACATGCATACACACACACGTGTGTGTATATATATATATATAGCTTTAGTGTATCATTTATTTATGTATTTTTTTTTCATTGTTGCAGAATTTGGAGGGGTTGCATGTGGAAGATCATGAAACTTTTGCGGGCAGCCTTGTGCAGTCACATATGCAATACACAAGTCCCTTCTGGTGAAAGTTCATCATGCGTGCATGGTCGATACAATACGAGATGGAGTATAACTTCGCTTTCGATATCATATATCTAACATATAAAATCGAGCTATATTTTGAATATATTATTTATCTTTTGTTTAAAGTGTATCAAAATGTAATATTTTAATATATATCTCGATTTTAGTTGTTTGTATTATATCGCGTCAAAATAAAATAATTTTAGAAATCTTTTTTTTTTTCAGGAAATAGGGATAGTAATAATAATAAAGTCACAAAGGTGGCCAAAATGCTCATTTGGTAGTTAGTGTGTGCTGTTTTTTTTAATGTGTGTCAGTATATATATATGTATATGTATATGCATATGCATATGCATATGTATATGTTTATGTATATAGATTTCCACATTGCACAAATCTTTGACTCCAAAAGAAGATTCTCCCTCCGCAATGTTAATTTATAAATTTGGATTAGTGGAGGGTACATCGGTAATATTTTAATAATCCGAATCATGGACACATATGTTTGATGATATATAAAATATAAAAAAATAATTATGTTATTATATCGATCGCTTGACTTCGTAGTCCGTACTATTTTGCATATCCATATATATATCGTTTTCGATATCATATATTTAAATATTATGATTTTGTTCTAAAGTATTAAAATCAATCAAGTGCTTAGAGCCTTTTGCAATTGCATAAAATAGCTAAATTATGTGCCAAGAAAAAGAAATGGCATCTCTCGATTAGCGTATGAATTTATGAACATTAAAGATGTCCAACGTCGTGAATATATATTTTTGTACACATTAATAATATCTAATGAAGATATAAAACTATATCATATTGGACCTCGCATAGACTCTAATTAGTTAGGAATGACACATAAAACTTGGTAATTAATTTTCATCAATTTCATTTGCTGATTTTTTTTTAAAGTAAATAAGAAGTAGAAAGTTAGGAAATTGCATCTGAAATGGTCCTCCTCTCATGCATCAAAACAACAAAAGGAAATAAATGGTACAAATTGGCCATCTTGTGAATACAATGTATGAAGGCGTTGACCATTGATACCTAATCATTATGTCCGTTGACCTTCCCTTATAACCACACAGAGATTTGGTTAAATGAACTCAATATTTTCAAACTTAATATTTTCGAAAAAAATTACTTCATCCGTTTTAAAATAATTATTGTTTTAGTTTATTTCATATTTTTTAAGATAAAAGATAAAAAAATCACACATACCCTTATTTAATGATAAAAACAATGTTATCATTAATAATTTATTAAAATTTGAGAATGACAAATATTTTGAAACATGGAAAATAACCTAAAACTCCAAATATTTTGAAACAGAGGGAGTAATATTTGTTCTACTCCATTAGTTCTTTTATTTTGCCATTCTATTTTGTATAATTTATTTTACAACATTGAGCTACATTTGGTTGATTTGAAAGAAAAAAAAAATATTCTGTTGTTTTCCATAATCGGAAAAGAAAACAAAATAGGAAATTTAAGTTGCTTTTTTTAGGAAAAAAACTTTGTCTAATAGTGGAGTCAATAAGAAGAAAAAAAAAAGAGCAAAAAAGAGATGCCACTTCCAACTTCCAAGGCTAGCGGATTCATTATTACATGATTATATTAACTTTTTTATTTGGACTTTTCATGTTTAGAGGAAAAACAATGCGAGTGATGTCAAATCAAATGGACATTGATCCAAAATAACAATAATAAAATCCATCTTAATAATAATAATAATAATAATAGTGGTGGTGATGATGATGAGATAGATGCTTCAAGTTTCAAAAAGGATGTTGGGCGGCATGTTCCTCCTACATGCATGTCATTGTCCTAAATTATAACTTTTTCTTATTGTACATTTTTCGAATTTCTACAAAAAAAAAATTGGTATCTAATTTTTCTTGCGACATAGTTATAGTAAATTAAAATAACTGTGAATTTAATTAGATATTTCATATGAAATTTGGTTAATGGAAAAGCCAGCGGAATAATATTGAATAATGATATAATCAACTAATCAAAGCATGATTCCCAAATAATATTATCTTTTTGACCACTTCATTATATTTCTTTTAATTATTTTCTGTCCAACCGTGCTAAATACTTTGTCGTTTTTTTAATGTATTCTCGTTAATTCGTGGCAAGATAATGTATATCAAATGTTTTTTTGTCACTCTAATTTTCCAACTATTATTCTTTATAATAGATTTAATTAACCGTATATTGTTTCCACACCCAAAATTCAGATACATTTTATAGCTTAGAAAATCGAATTTGGATGTATTGACTTGGGCACTAATTTATGAATCGTTGAGCCAATGCCACTGTTATTGTTCTTACGTGCCATAATTATGTCGTTACTAATGAAATTGGGCTGCTCTAGAAAGGTGGAAGATGAAAGAAAATGGACACTTTAATTAGTTTTTTTTTTAAATTTAATAAGATTTGATTTTTTTTTAATTAAGGTTAAATAATGACGAGGCAAAACGCATCAAAACAGTTATAATTCTGATAATTTAATCCAGTTACTTGTAAATTGCGAACAATTAATTGAAAAAAAAGTTGGGAGACACTAATCTCACTGTTTTATAGAAATTGTTTCGATTTCTTAATCTCAATGTTTGGGGTAAAACGTAAAATATAAAAAAATACGGGACATAATTGAAACTAATGAGAAAGTAAAGGGATAGAAAGGAATAACATAACTTTGGAGGCCACTTATAGAAAAGAAATAATTTACGGTAGTATAATTTTATAGGTATGATAACATAATTGTATCTGAATAGTGACAAAACTAATTAATTAATATAATTATTATATATGATCGTTGTTATAAAACAATGTGTCTCATGTGTGTATATATATATCTATGTAAGTACATAATGTGATTGTATGTAAATCTCATTTTTTTCATACATACATACATACATACATACATACATACATACATACATACATACGTACGTACATACATACGTACGTACGTACACATGCAAACAAAAATATGGACGTACATACGTATATACGTAGATAAACCATATGTATGTATACAATAGGTGGCAAATTGATGCCAAAAGCATAAAATTTTGTGACCCTAAAGAGACTTTTGTGATGATTTAGGTCTTCCTTTACTGCAAGTCGATATGTTTGTTTTTTCTTCTCCACTTGTAAAGGGCGTCTCGAAGTATAATCTCTAATATTATTAGATAGAGCAATTTGAAAACTAATATATACTTTAAAAAAAACCCACATATAGAATAATCAAGATATCAAAATTTATCATAAGAAAATATTATAAATACTAATAAAATGTAATTCAAAATAACTAACAAGTTTTATTTACGGTAAAGCGAATCTTTTACCTCGTTAATGATGGCTAAATGTCCTTTCCATCACTTTCGAAAATTTTTTCCCAACCAACGGGGTGTCGGCATTTTGAGGAATTTAACAAAGACCAAGGAAAAATATATTAAATTATTGAAGTAATAAAGCAAAAAATATGTTTCAATAATATAAAATATCAGTATAATGACTTAAATGAATGAATTAATTTAATCACAAGGAGCATCACCAAGGAATGTCTTTGAAAAGTGGTCAAATGCTACCCGTGTAGGTCTTTAATATGTTGGCTATGCCTACAAAAAATAATAATAATATAAAATTCGAAAAAATATTCCTCAAAACGTGTGAAGAACTTTAATATTATTATTTTTGATTATTTGTTTGTGATGCAGTGGTGGGCTTCTTCCTCCACGAATTTTACATTATCGGATATAATGAGATACATAGATATATTATATATATATATATATATATATTCAAGCCTTTGTAAAGATAGTTAAAAAAATTCAAACTTAAAAAATTGGAAATAAGCGTTGAAAAATATTATTCGGTAACTAACACTTTTTATCAGAATAAAAATCTAAATTACAACCTAAACTTGAACATAATAATGAAAGAGACTTTTCTTAAATTGCAATTTTTTTTAGAACACACACTATTTTACTACTTTTAGGCTATGATTGGTGATAATTTTTCTTTTTGAGTTTTGGACTCTATTTTTGGGTTTTGTAGTATTTGTAGTTTTTACTTAATAATTTTTTTGTATATATTTAATATAAAAATAATATATACTTCAAATAATAAAATTTGAAGAACACCCTTTATAATTTATTTTTGAAGAACACACCTCAAATTTGATTTTTTTTTACAAAAATGAGTTGTGATAAAAAATTATAAGATCCATATCTTTAAATAGATATAAGTATAAGGTGAAACTATCTTCAAAATTATGGATACTTTTATCTTCAGAGACATATTTTTTAATAGCAAATAAAATAATCTAATAACGAATATTTTTTTTTGTAAAAATCCAAAAAATAGAGTTTTTCATTTTTAATTGATTTTTTTCAATAAAATAGTTTTTTTAGTTTTTAGAAAAATTAAATCTATAAACTAACTATTTATTTATTTTTTGAATTTTAAAAACTTCTAAACCAATATATTCTGTTGATAATTGTTTTCCTCAACAGATTACTATTTTCTCACATCAATCCGACCGAAACAACCCAAGACGATATGGGCCGAATGACGACCCAACTATGTACAGATGCGATAGCCTTTATGGGCCCAACAAGTAATATTAAACTAATGACGGGAATTTGCATAATAACCCACAAGTTTTGTTGAAGATACATTATCAGCCCCTAAACATTATTCCGTCAAGGGAACATCCTAGATTATCCACTGCATAAAAAAGGGTAAGGACAGTTGCAGCTATGTCTTTGGAGATATTATCAAAGGTTCAACAGGGGAGTAAAACCTTTGGCCTCTGGCCTGAAAATCAAAAGACAAGAAGAGGGAAGAAAACAACTAAATCAGACCAAAGTTATGACAAAATTCACATAACCACATGAACAGGAACACAAAAAACTCACTGTTGATAACCAATTAAATAAAAAAATGAACAATCGGGTTCGTCAAATTACTAAAAAAACGCAATGAACACAACACGAGAACGGAAGAACACACCTGCAAACAGGTTCTGCCATGGCAATGAGAAAATCGTAGGGCTTGTTTGTAAAGGGGAGAGAATGTGTCGAGGAAAATTCTTCCATCTGCACATGCCCACGATGGCCTGTTTGCATGATCAGGCTTCAATTCTAGTTTGCTAAAACCCCTCTTCTTCACCTCTCCATCACCTTCAATCCAGAAATGTACAGTACCGTCTCGAGAATCCTCATCGGCGTCATCACCATAGAAGTATTCTTCATTTTCCGAGTTCATCATCTTTTGTTCATCCTGAAATTTCACGAAAGAAATAAATTGATCCCAAAAAGAATCACCCAGAAGATGGAATATGCAGAATCCAAAAGAAAATTGCGTTCAAGAAGACAGAGACGAACCTTGCCGCCGCGGCGGCTTTCATCTTCTTCCTGGGTCTTCTTCTTTCACCTGACACCAAACATATCCAAAAAACGTGAAAATAAACATCACCCAGTTACAGCACCCACTACGGAACTGTCGAAATTCACGACAGAACAAGAAAAACATGGCTTGAATTGAAATCGATCGCTGATTCGGTAAACATCATTAAACAGTTACCATTTCCCATGGTAAAGGAGATTGTTCTGTGCGTTCAGATCCGATCGCTTCAGTACTGGCCTTGCTCTCCTCCGTTTATTGATATAAGGGACCGACAAAACGACGTCGTATCCGATGTTAGACAGACACATGATGGGCCTCTCGTGACAAATGGGCCTCCACTTGTTCGAGATAGTTTGATTTTCGCAACTATATTGTAAATGATTTAGAAATATATAAATGTTTTGGTCCGTTTGTAACTTTGTATATCATATGATTTCACTTTTTTTAAAGCAATACATCTTTTCTCTTTGGATTTTCCCCAAAGAACCATATATGATACTTTCACATCCAATTATAGAAACAATATGTTATAAAAGGCTAAATTGCATATGTTAATTGCCAAGTTTGCTTACGGTAAAAAAATCACCAGAATCAAATAAACAATGATAATAATAATGAATCTAGTACAGAACACGGTTAAAAAAAAATCATTGAATTAAATGAATAAAAAATAATGTGGAAAAAAAGTGTCGTCATGAGTACCCACCGCCTGTGAACAGTACCAAGAAATAATAATAACAAAAATAATTTAAATAGAGAACAATTCTAATCGTAATAATATTCAAAGTACCGAAAATAAATAAAGGAGAAAAAAAAAGTTAGGCACAGACAAATTTTCCGAAAATTTACTGTGTTACGGTTCTTAGAATTTACTGAGAGGGAAGGGTTTAATCTTTCTTCCAGAGACCCATATAAATACATGGGGGTCTTCGCTTCACTCATCATCCGTCTGGGGGAAAATAATATTTCCATATTTTCTCTTCGTCTACATCAAATTCCCAGAAACTGAAAGGAAATCCCGGAAAATCGCTTTCACGAGAAAACCAGAAAAAAGGAGCGATAATGTCTTCGCCGAGCAAGCGCAGGGAGATGGATTTGATGAAACTGTAATCGCCTTTTTTCTGATTTTTTTTTTTAAAATTTGGTTTCGGTTTTTGAGCTGATTGTTTCTTCTGGGTTCTTCCGATTGATGTGAAATAGGATGATGAGCGACTACAAGGTGGAGATGATCAACGATGGCATGCAGGAATTCTATGTCGAATTCAATGGACCCAAAGACAGTAAAAAAAAATCATCAATACCCTCGTTTTTGTGATTGATACTTGTTTTAATTCGATGATCTTGTTTCTGTAAATCGAAATCATCTTATGTTCATCCTTTATACGAGGTTTTTGATATGTTGAATCATCTTCTTGTTCACTCCCACTGTTCTGACTCTGAGCTGCTGATTTGTTGAACACCAAATTTGCTTGATCTTTTTCGAATTTATTTGTGGGGTTAATGCGTTCTTTTGATTATCGCCATGGATATGGTTCCTGTTTTCTTGTTCACACACACTTTCTGGTGATGATGACACGATTTCCATAATAGATTAAAGATTTCTGGGTTTTTGTTTGTATCCTGAGAAAATTGGCTTTTTTCTTGTTGTTGATTTCATCTGCTCTTTTTGTTTGTGTGCGTGAACTGCGTGACAGGCCCTTATGAGGGAGGTGTCTGGAAGATAAGAGTTGAGCTTCCAGATGCTTATCCTTATAAATCTCCATCAGTAGGATTCGTCACTAAAATCTACCACCCAAATGTTGATGAAATGTGAGTTTGGAAATACTGATCCATGAAAAACTCTTTTTTGCTATTAGGGTTTTGTCAATTTGATCATTAGAGCTTGTTAATGGATTGTTTTCAAATGCTTTATCTTCCTTCTTGTGTTGCAGGTCAGGTTCAGTTTGCTTAGATGTGATCAACCAGACATGGAGTCCGATGTTCGGTAAGGAGCCTACAGTTTTTTTTGGTTTTTGTTTAGTTAAACGCAGGATGGGTGGACAGACATTGATGAACTTCTTGTTGTTCATACAACTCAGTTCTGGCCTGTTGAACTTTGTTTTTTTCAGATCTGGTTAATGTGTTCGAGACATTTCTTCCTCAGCTTCTTCTGTATCCGAATGCGTCTGATCCATTGAATGGAGAAGCAGCTGCATTACAAATGCGTGATCGTGCTGCTTACGAGCAGCGAGTAAAAGGTAATATAAATGAGAGTTAAGACTTTTCTGTGTCGTTTTTTTATCTGTTCTTGGTTGCTCTATGCTGGGACTTTGATTCTTGTTTTGCGATGCTTTGGATAATTGAAAACTGCATTCTCTTGATCTTTGTTGGGTTCTTGAAAATATCATTCCTTTACCTATATCCTGTCGAGGTCGGTCCATGCCTTCTGATGAAAGAATTTAGGACAGAAAGTATTCCTTCAACTGTTTATGTTTTATAGAGTCATGGATTTGGCTTTTCTTCACTCTTTCCATGTATCATTCTTCTGTGATTTAGTGTTTCATACTCAATCTGTCGGAAGAGTTCTGAAAATATGGAATCATCGGATGTCCAAAAAACACGCATTCTTAGTGTCGTTCTTTTCTCGGTATACTTCTTTCTTTCTTCAAGATTCACCATGATGCAACGGAATCTGTAGACGGGTTTGCCTGGGATTATCCTTAAGATCCGCCTGGTTTTTATCTGACATGGGATCCATGACTTCAGAATACACCGAGAAGTATGCAAAGCCAGAGAAAGCAGGGGGAGATGGGGACGGGAAATCGAGTGATGAAGAAGTAAGCGAAGACGAGTATGCTTCCGACGAGGACGGGGATGATGAGGAGGACGACGTCGTTGCAGTCACCGGAAAGCCAGACCCTTGATCCATTGCTATCTGGTTTCCTGAAAAAGAACCCCTTGTCTTTTTTTTTTTTCCCCAATGTACATTATCATGAATGAATGGATGGACATTCTAAGAAGATCAGAAAGAACAAAAAAAAAAAAAAACTGAGCTGGAAAAACTGTGAAGCTACCGAGTTGAAACTCAGACTCAGTTCGGTCTCTCTCTTTCTCTGTTATTATGTTGTTTGGTTGTGTAAATCATTGGACTCGTTTCTCACTTTGTTGTGTAATGCCTAATGCTGGTTCTATGGCTTCTGATGTTTTGTCTTTTTCTTTTTCTGGTGACATTGAGTGCTTAACTTTCTTGATCCTTATATGTCCTGATTAATGGAATAGTTAGGATAAAAATATTAAATTGATAAATGATTATATATGAAAATTTGAAAGTGACATCTGTCACAAAGATGGTTTATTTTTATTTTATATATTATCCATTGTCCATCTCCATCTCTTTTAGCTCTCTCGCACTTCGATGCCACACACAACATTTATAATATTTTGAAGTATTGACATAGAAAATGTATATAAAGTTTCTATATAATTAATACAATTATACTGGAGAATTTATATGATTTCATATAAAAAAATATATATTTGTTCATTCTCACATATTTTTCTCGACAGTTTCGTGACACGTCTTGTAATTTTTTACTAATATAAACAAATCATTTCCTTCAATTATTGTGATAATTCTTTTAATTATTAGTTTTTACAGGCATTATTTCTTTTTATTTTTTTTTTGTAAATATTTATTTCTTTTTATTTTTCGAATAAATATCTTCTCCTTCCTCTATATATAGTATAATAGTACCAGGTTCCTGTACGCGTTTCAGTTCTTCATCTTCTCCGTTAGGTCATCGCACTTAAGGTAATGATGAATGATCATTTATCTCAATCGATTTACAGATCTATTTTCATTTTTCATTCAGGTTCTTTGTTTTTCTTTGTTTTATTTAATTTCTTTTTTGGAAATTATTATTATATCGAATTTTCTTGTCCATGATTTAAAATTCTTTTATCGATATATATCCGTGGAAAGACCAAACCCTCCAATTGCCGCTCTGCGCTCTTCAACGGTTGTATCCTCTAGGGTTTATCGTTTGGGAGTTTCGCTGCGATTGGGGGGTTTTCTGATCCTTTTTTTGGTCTCCGTAGATTGAATTTAGGGTTTTGTATTTTTGCTGTTACTATGGCTCGATTGATTCTTCCTTGCAAAAGCTCGTCTCTAGCGAGGACCGGCCTCCTGGGTTTGATATCTTCTGCTCCTGTGATTCTCCATTTCTCATGTTCTTTGATCGTCTATATTGTTCGATACGTGTGTATACATGTATACTAGTATTTGATTGTTTAAAATTCATCTGCATTTCACGATTTTGTTCACGACACAGAAAATGAAAATGTCGGATTATGTTGTTAATGCAGTTTCTGGTGATGCTTACGATCATCCTGTGCTTTCGAATCACCGTTTTGAGTGTGTCGTTGATTTGTTTGAGCTTCTTCTCCTTCTTCATCTGGGTTCATTTCATTATTATTACCCTAAATAATAATTGCCTCTTTCATTTAATTTCTGCAGCTTCCTGTTAGAAGCTGTTGTCTTCCACTTCACACCCCTGCAAAAGGAGCAACTCAATACAAGCGGTTTCTTACATCTAATGTCTGTGTTTTTTTTTCCAGATGTCATGTTTTTTTTAAACTGGGAATTGTGAAACTTGACTCTTTTCTCGTTGTTCCAGGCCATTTGTCTGAGGAAATATCGATTTCCAGCTCATTCCGTCGTTGTAAGTTGCTCTGTTGCTCTTACAAAATAACGAGTATTGCAATCTCAAGATTAATTTATTAATGTGTGATTCATCTAGCTGCTTATATGTATTCTTTGTTTTATGTTTCAGAGATATAATTCAGGTAGCAGGAAGCTAATTTGTTCGGTTGCCACAGAGCCTGTTCCTGATAAAGTTGAGGAATCCAAAATGGACGCACCTAAAGAAATATTTCTCAAGGACTACAAGATGCCTGATTACTACTTTGATACCGTATGTTATTCATATTTCGACTTTCAACTTGAGTATACGTATAATGCTATTGCAACCATTTTGATTGTGACTAGATTTTTTTTGTTTTTACTTATGTTCCATTTAGATGGACCTGAGCTTCTCTCTGGGTGAAGAGAAAACAATCGTTACCTCCAAAATTAATGTTCTTCCTCGAGTTAAAGGTACAACACTCTGTGCAAGTTGCTGCATTGCTAGGCTGACATTTCAAATTAATTGTGTTTTTTAAACTAGAAGTTCAGCCCTTTTTCCCCTGCATGCCTGCATCTTAAGTATTGCTCCATTCACGGAACTCGTCTTTCTCAGACTGTATTCTGAACAAGTTTCCTTCTTGATTAGGTGCTTCTGCTCCCTTGGTCTTGGATGGGCACGACTTGAAGCTACTTTCTGTCAAAGTTGATGGGAAGGTTCTAAAGGTATCTGATACACTACTTCTTTGTCCTGTTAAGAATGATATACCGACGTATTTTGAGTTCTTTCATATATTTAACAACTCTGCTTCCTCAACTTATTCTGGATCTCTTTCCGTTTTCGGTTCACTAATTGTAGGAAGGAGATTACAAGCTGGATGCTCGCCATCTTACTCTCCCTTCACTGCCAGCCAGTGAGTCCTTTGTTTTGGAAATTGATACTGAGATATACCCCCACAAGAATACTTCACTAGAGGTAAGCTTTGCTTGATTTTCACTTGGCGTAAAATTTGCTTGATTCTTGAAAATCTCAATGGTTTTAACTCTGCTCTTCTAACATCTTCCCCCCTCTTCCTTTAGGGACTTTACAAGTCCTCTGGGAACTTCTGCACCCAGTGTGAAGCAGAAGGTTTCCGGAAAATTACATTTTACCAGGTTTGTTTTTTGAGAATATGAATGGATAAGATGGTTCTTGTTTGCGTATCATATCCTACATTCTTATTGCTTTGCTTTAACATGTGATGAGTAGGATCGGCCTGATATTATGGCAAAGTACACGTGTCGTATTGAAGCTGATAAATCACTCTATCCAGTGTTGCTGTCCAATGGAAATCTCATTTCTCAAGGCGAACTTGAGGTTAGAATTAGACCTATCACAAAATAAAGTACCTTTTAGTTTCTTCTTTGTTTATTTAGTCTCTTTTCAATTATAGGGTGGCCGGCACTATGCACTATGGGAGGACCCATTCAAGAAACCTTCCTACCTCTTTGCGCTTGTGGCTGGACGTCTGGTAAGCAGAGATGATACATTTACCACACGCTCTGGTAGGCAAGTATCTTTGCGAATCTGGACTCCTGCAGAAGATGTAGCAAAGACAGCTCATGCTATGTATTCTCTAAAGGCCGCAATGAAGTGGGATGAGGACGTGAGTACAGCAAATTTTGGTCGTCATCTTTTTATATTGGTTTATGGTACTGAAATGGCTTTTCCTTTCATACTTTTGAACAGGTGTTTGGCCTTGAGTATGATCTGGATCTCTTCAACATTGTCGCTGTTCCAGATTTTAACATGTACGAACAAATACTGCTGTGATGACATTTGATACTATTGTTCCATTTGCCGTCATCTAAAATTTGAATAAAGGGTTTATGCTTCCATTTCTTTTACTTTTCTTCACCTGGGGACCTGGGAAACTGATTGGTCTTCTGGTCAATATTTCAGGGGTGCCATGGAAAACAAGAGTTTGAATGTATGTTGCTTGACCTTTTGCTTTATCAAAAATAAGAAATTCAAGTTAATACTTTGTCACAATAAATGATTCATGGACTTCTCCCTTGCAGATCTTTAATTCCAAGCTTGTCTTGGCATCTCCAGAAACTGCAACAGATGGCGATTATGCTGCAATTCTGGGAGTTATCGGTCATGAAGTACGTTGTTATACCATGCAATGATTCTTGAAACCTTGTCTGGTGTTTTAAGTTATTTTTTTACGATCATATCTTTTATTCTTTTCTATGTGCAGTATTTCCACAATTGGACAGGGAACAGGTCAACCTCGTCCATCTCTCCTTCCTCCCTTTTCCAGACGTTCATAATGGATAGTTCTTTGCAGATATATTCTCTAATTCGATAGAAGGCTCATTGCTTTATGCCACATGCTGTCTGAAATAACAGGGTGACATGCCGTGACTGGTTCCAACTCAGTCTAAAGGAAGGGCTTACTGTCTTCCGTGACCAGGTATTATTTACCTTGCACTCACCAAAGATGGTAATTGCTGAATATATTCGCTCTTTACTTAAAAGAACCCTTGGTTTTCTTGCAGGAGTTTTCATCTGACATGGGAAGTCGGACTGTAAAGCGGATTGGTGATGTTTCGAAGCTTCGAATTTATCAGTTCCCTCAGGTGCTTTTGTCGGGCACTCTTTTTTTTCTTTTGAGGCCTTCATGCATTATTGTCTCATTTTCTGTTGTTACTTAAAATGTTAAAAATTCTTTCAGAAGCAAACAAACTACTGATAACTAGTCATTTTGTATTCTATCTTACCAGGATGCTGGTCCCATGGCTCATCCTGTTCGCCCCCATTCTTACATAAAGGTTAGAGATTCTTTATTGTCTTTCTTTTTAAAAGCTTTGATATAATTATGGTATTGGCTGTAATACATTTGGTTCTTTTCTTTCTGTGGCAGATGGACAACTTTTACACAGGCATGTTTTTCTGTTCTGTAGCAAATTTTGGATTCTGTAAAACGTTTTCATTTTTGTGATGTACTCTGTTCCTGTCTGACGTTATGGTGCCATGTGACCTTTCTGAAACTGGTTCTCATCTCTGGCATCACCTACTCTTGCAGTGACGGTAGGACCTAAGAATCTTTTGTTCCTCGTGGTTTCCTTTCTCTTCATATTCATAGTCCATTACATTTTCTTTTGATTTATATCTGATGGAGTTGTTTGTTTTGTTTTGTAATTTCCAGGTTTACGAAAAGGTTTGGCTCTTTAACCATACTGACCCCATTTCTTACATTGTCTGCTAAGCAAGAAAACTTGTTTTAACTAATAAATGAATTCCCTAGGGAGCTGAGGTCGTGAGGATGTACAAAACGCTACTAGGAAGCCAAGGATTTCGAAAGGTTGGTCATCAAAGCCGACGCTTGCTCTTTGTTCTCTGGAGAGGTTTCCTGTCTGGCGCATTTTGGTTACTTCTATTTATCCATATGCTTCAGGGTATGGATCTCTATTTTGAAAGACATGACGGGCAAGCTGTTACTTGTGAAGACTTCTTTGCTGCCATGCGAGATGCGAACAATGCAGATTTCGCAAATTTCTTGCTATGGTTTGTTGTTTTGATCTTTAATGTTAATTTTAGTGATGGCCATGATTTTCATGTTTTCTAATGAGGTGAAACTTTTTAGGTATTCTCAAGCTGGAACCCCAGTTGTCAAAGTGACTTCGTCTTACAATGCTGAAGCTCATACTTTCTCTTTGAAGTTCAGGTGTTGCTCTACTTCTATCTGTTTTTTTTTTTTTTTTTTTTTTCCCCTT